CACTGCTCTGTGCTCAGTCATGTCCGACTCTTTGCAGCCCCATGGACTGTAGCCCACCAGGCTCCTCTGTCCATGGAATTTTTCAGGCAACAATACTGGAGTGGGTTGCTATTCCCTTCTCCAGGGGATCTTCCCGATCCAGGGATCAAACTCGCCTCTCCTGCATTGCAGGCAGATTCTTTACTACTAAGTCACTGTGTAAGCCCCAAGTCCACACTGGCAACAATTAGAGAGAGAAGAGAGGGGGAGAGAGAGAGAGATGGCCTCTGGCTTAGCCTGCTTCCTCCCTTGGAACAGAGAAGTGAATCAGAGGCTGGGAAAACATTTCTCTATATAAGCTTAGCGCTTTACGTGCTGTCTACCCTTCAATCATATTAAATACACTGAACAAAAACTTTCCACTGAAATAAAAAACAGAACAGGAGTTGAAGGCAACAGTTTATCACACTGGACTGGAAGAAAGCTAAACCCTGAGCACGTTGGTCGGAAGTAACAGTGTCAGATTCCAATGGGTCTGTGTCAAAGGCACTCGTGACCTGAGCCAGCTCTCAGGATTAGAAGCAGCTGCCTTCTGGATTAATGAAAAGCCAGAGACATTTATGATGGCTAATAATAATATTTAACCCCATCACCTGTGTTTACCTTTGGGCTGTTAAGGGCTTGGTGCGCACACACTCTTACCTAGTACTAAAATGATACTCAATCACAAGAAAGGAAAATTATTATTAAGCAACTGCACACAGTGGGCTTTTGAGCAGCCTCTAAATAGGAGGCAGTTCTGAGACCAGGATCATTTTAATTAAAGGAAAAAAGAAAGAAAGAAACCCCATTTTGATCTTTCACTCGCTGACTGCAAAGGGGCCGTATTTCCCAGGCCCATATCCCAGTGACTGCACCCCGCTGGTGCAGACAGAGGAGCAGGTGTGAGCTGGCCACTCAGGAGCAGTTCCCAACACGACTGCAGAAGCCCGCCCCTTGATCTACCAGGACTTATCCTGCAGCTGCCAAGGCAACAGCGCAGCCCTCGAGCTGGTGCTCTTCCTCTTGCCCGCTGGCCACCTGGGTTGAACAAATGCTCTTTCCACTAGGCTGGGTTGTCTTGGCCTCCAAGGCCTAGGGAACACCCTTCTATCTAGGCCCAGCTCTGCTGTTAACTGTATGCACTCAGCCACCAGTAACCAGCAGCAGGGCCTGGAGGGCCAGAACATCAGCCTCTGAGTCATCTTTAAAACACCAAGCTGGGCCATCTCATTCCTGGACACAGGAGAGTCAGGAGAGGAGCAGGGGAACATAGATCCTCTCAGACTAAGAGACAGTGCGGCGTTATTTTTCACTTGGGAATAGAGACCCAAACATTTGGGGTGTTTCTATACCACCCTCACCCACCCACTGCCAGGATAATGGCAACAGGTGGGAGGTAGTGGGCTTTGAAATCAAGTCGTGGCTCCACACCTTTTTAAAGGTTTCGAGTCCCTATGTAGCCACTTAACCTTGTAAGCCCTAAAACAAGAGAAAGCATGCAAGTCCCAGGCTCAGTGCCCAGAACCCAAGGAACCCTCAGTCAGGACGGAAAATGTCATAAACAGAAACAAGGTTTTAGAGGAAGGAGAGGAAAAGAGATTTTTCTCGATTTTAACAAGACCAAAAACCAGTAAAGCACACACTATTGTATTCAAATTTCCTTCAACTTTAAGAATATCCTGAGCACGTATTGAAAAGGAAGGCTTCAGAAGGCCTGGGAACTTACAAATAATGTTGCCAGCATTTACTGTGCATCAGATTTAAGCATGAGAAACTGGAAACAAAAAGAGGAGAAGGACAGAATGTTTGGTCTCACAGCCACCTTTCCTGTCCTCCGTCCCTGGGAACAGCCCATGTTTGGTCTCACAGCCACCTTTCCTGTCTTCCGTCCCTCTTCATTCAGATTCCTGGGCTCCTGCCCATCCTTGCATCTGCTTGGAGCACACGGTATGTACTTCACTGTTCTGCTCAACAACCTTCCAAGGCTCCCCTCTGCCTTCAGGATATACAGTCCTTTCAAACCCTTCCCCCTGCCTCTCCTGTTACTCCCTTACGGAAATCGGAAACCTAAGCAAACACAGCAGTCCATTTGATGCCCTTCAAAACAGATCCTACCACTGAGTCTTTATTCATCCACTCCATTCTATCTAGGATTCATCTCCCATTCATTCGGTAGTTTGTTCAAAACCTACCCTATCTTCAAAGCCAGGTCTTGGGCAGCCTTCCTCTAAGAACTCCCACAGTCACCCGAGCTATGATAGTCTTTTCCTCCGAGCTATGATAGTCTTAGCTGCCTGACCCCTTCCCTTGGCATCTAGTTATCTGCTGCTTTTTCTTGACGATTTTCCATTGTTTAGGCATGCCTCTCCTCCTCAAACCCCAGCACCCCAAGGATAGAGACTACTCTCAACAACCCTGGAGCCTGACCTCAGGGCTATGCACACAGTGGGTGTCCATCCCATTCTGCCCACACTGCTAGACAGAACTCTGCCTTGAGAGTCAGCCATGTGCCCTAGCTAGCTCACAGGTAACTCCAGGCCTTGCCTCTCTGTCTATTACACAGAAAGTCTGGGGAAATGAACCTGGGAGGTCATTGTCAGATCAAAGATTCTGCAAATTCTGGAGTCCTGCCCCAAGGCCACAGAAGCGGAGCCCAGAACCAATGCCACCTGTGAACCTGACCGCGCCCACCTGTAACTATTGCCAAAAGCCTCCAGATCATCACCAGCAGGCTTCCTGACCCTAAATTAGGCAAAAACGCTCACCCTAGTACTCACCCTGTGGCACCTTAACCAACACCTAATACCACCCTCCCAGCAGGAATTCTCTGTCTTGAGGCTATATACACTGGCCTCACTGCTCTAACAGCATCGTGTCAACTCTCCCTGGCCTGTTAGGAGTTGGCCCTCTGTGCCTGCAGCACCCTTGTTATCTCTGCTCTTTGTTCTTAATAAACTCACTCCCTTCTGAAATGCTCTATGTCTGGAAACTCTTTACCAACCCGTGCTCAGACAGCCACAACATAAACGGGGTAGGCCACTCACTATAATTGCTAGGAAAATCTCTTTCTAGCTTTTCCACTTAAGCCCTATAACTAAGATGAGGAAAAATAACGGGAGATATTCAGAGGAAGCAAAGATTTAGAAGAGGCACTTGTGCGCAGGCAGAGATTAAGTAGAGGGAAGAAGTTCAATCTTTGACTTTTTAACAAGAGACCAAGATCCAAAACAAAGTTCCCCAGACCTTCCTGTTTCAGGGCTGTTGCGGAGCATCCAGAGCCAATGCTATAAGTCAGGCTGGAGACAACAGACAGGCACCATTTCCTGTTCTTTAGGGGACTCTTCCTGTGAAGGAGCTGTCACAGAGTTGCATTTGAGGGGGCGGAGGAGAACGGGTCTTAGGTTTAGAAGTTTCCCATTTCTCTAATTCTGGCAGGAAGGCACCAACACATCCCTAGAATTTAACCAAAGTGGACTGAAATGGTTTCAGAATCAAGGCCCCCTCATCTACACCCAGAGACCTTCCCTGGACCTTTAAGAGGCAAGAAGCAAGCCTCAGATTCTCACCTTGACTTTGAGAGAGAAGTAATGCTCTCCTGTAAGGCAGGTATCTTTGATCAACCCATTCTCTACCCTTCCTCACAAATCCAAAGGCAACATAGGCCAGGAGAGAACTCCCATTGGGAGACCTCACTTCTCTCAGGAGTTCGTTTTATTGTTTCAGTAATTCCTACATCAGTTTGAACACAATGCTCAGTTTCTCCACTTTAACAGACATCGGGCTTTAAAAGACTTCAAAAATCTCCTGGACAAACAGTCTCATTTGTCTAGACCTTAGAGGCTGCGCTCAGAGAGGCTAGGGCTTCCTTACAGCTACACGAGGTCAGTGCAGGAGGCTGGACAGGGACTCTTTCCCATAAAACAAGTAGGTTCCCTCTATGTCCTCCCCAGGCTTGCTTTAGGTTCTCAGCTCAGGGAAAATACTTTCAACTTTGACCAGATCACAGAGAGCAGTTCCATTCTCCATGAACCATATTGGAAGGAAAGAGAGGAGGGACCTGAGTGAGGAGCTTCCTTAGGGTTGGACCACCAGCTGAACCACCTCTGGTTCAGTCTGTCTGATATTTGGGGGCTGCAAAGCTGTTTTAAGTGCCTGGTGACATGAATCTGAGCAAACTTCAGAAGACAGTGGAGGACAGAGGAGCCTGGCATGCTATAGTCCAGGGGGTCGCAGAGAGTTGGACACGACTGAGAGACTGACCAACAACAACAAATCATGATGGGATGACATACTCCTAGATCTACCACTTCCTAGTGATGTGACACCCCATCCCCAGGATATGATTGAGGCACTCTGAACCTTAATTTAAAAAATGGAAACAAAACCCAAAAACCTTGGGACCATACCAAGTGTAGTTCGGAAAATCAGTTCCATTATCTACAGTGTGAGGAAAGTGTGAACTGTCCCTGGCTGCCTCCCAGTGTTCCTGTAAGGATCAGGTATCAATGCAACTCCTGCCAATTGAAAACTGCAAAAACCAGTCACTTGCATGGCACTGTTACTGTGCTATGAACACCTCACATACATATGAATGTATGCACTGCTAACTTGCTGGCAAAGTTCTTAAAGGAACAGACTGCACCATATAATTTACTTCCAATGGCACTACCACTGTATAGTGGTAGCCACCAAATTTCACACAATTGCTGGCTGAACTCATGATTCTTAGAGCCTCAGCTCTAAAAGCACTTTGCCTATTGTGACTAAGAGATTGTTTTCCATAGCCACTCTGGAAACGTTCACGCTACACACTTTATGGTATATATTTCACCTCCCTTATAGCAGCTCATCCCATCTTCCATCATTTCCATAAGCCCTGGACTTTCTCTCCCTCCACCAGTCAAATCCTCAGGGTTAACCTCTCACATTTCCTTTTCCATGCAGGATGATCCACACATCACTCAGCGACAGAACAGTACCTGTTCCCTGCTCCGGGTGATCCTCTCAGACAGCAAATCCGAGTTGTTTCTTTCTTCTTCCAGCTCCATCTCCAGTTGAGACACCTTGTCCTAAGAAAGAAGTTACAAACACAGCCTACTTAAATTGCACTGACCAAGTTTTTAGGAGCAAGGACTGCCCTGCCTTGCACAATACCACAGGGACATCAGAGCTGAATCAGAATTAGAGTTTGGCAAAAGAATGTGTCTTTTTCTCATACTGTCCAAAGTACATCTTTTAAAACCCGTTTTATTGCTTTATAATGTAATTGTGCATCTAGAAAACACATAAAAGGAGAAAAAAAATTGCCCCTCTGAGGATATTTTATATTTCCTTCAACCTTTTTTTTTCTTTATGAATCAGTAATTCTACAAAGATCTACCTAAGCCTAACAGGCATGTTACCTGTCAAAAGACAATATGGAAACCAGGATACCATCCAAGGCACTCTTCGCTAAATACTGTGAACTCAGGACAATGTTATCTTTTTTTCCCCTCAATTGTATGTGAGCTTATTTCCAATCTAATTTCCAGTTCTCTAGCTTATTATCAAAATACCCAACAACTTTCTCTGGGACATCTTTGAGACAATGCCAGAAACCCTGAGTGTATCAGGACAATGTTCTTCCTCTCTCCTTCTCAGGGTTTCCAAGACCTTCACAGGAATAGAGTCTGAAGCAGGCTTTTGCATCTGCCTTTTCCTTCTAGGAACCTCATAAATGACGGTGCAGTCCCAAGTCCCCAGCAGAGTAACATAAAGACAGTGTTGGCCCATTCTGCTAAACCACCCATCATAGAAAAAAAAAGTTATTTCTGTCTTCCTTGCAGGCTCCTAACTTAACATCACTGAACGTTAAGAGAAAAGCACTTCAAATTAGCTTTGTGTACCAAAAGAAAAGAGAGGCTTCAAACACAAACAACCCCACCTAGAATGGGGGAGGTTGTGCGGTTGGTCCATGCATTTCTCCTGTCACCAAAAAACGTGTCATACATCCAGACTAAGTCAGAGTCACGCGGCAGGCACACTAAACGCAATCAGCATTTTAAGTTTTTATGGGAGCCTGCAGCATCTGTACATAAATATTGTCTCTGCAATTCTCAAAGTTGGCTGGCGAGCCCCTGTGCGCACCAAAAATAAAACTCACCGAACTCTCGTGAATGACTCAATGTCTGTGAATGCCTTCTCTGTTGTGAGCAAAGCCTACAGAGAACCCAAAGACCTGTCTCCCAGGAGAAAACAGACACCTGAGTTTCTGAGTTTACAGGCTCATTAATGAAAGAGCTCTTGAGTCTAAGAATTAAACTATTAAGTGCTAGTGAAGGAATAAGCAAGATCTTAGTCACAGAAAGACAGTCTTGCCAGCGCCCTCTTAGGAGAGGAAGCACCCTCTGGTGTGCCTCATTGGTGGGGTCTTGAGAGCTGTTCATTTCATGCTTAATGGAAAAACAGCTTCTAGACCTTGAGTTAGTAAACGGAATATGTTTTTTATAGTCAGAATATTCTAGAAGGAGATGACCTGACGACTCAATGGTTGACTAAAAGCACCTCTTCACAGGGTTCTCTCCTGGCCTACAATTTATACTGTACAGAACCCAGCAGAAGACTTCAGGGGATCAGGCCACGGGTCATTACACCAAAGGTTTTCACATCACTGCCTGACGAAGCTTTAGCTTGTCTTTAACCAGATTGTTTGGGCTGCAGAATAATCACTTCCTAGTTACCTGGGTTGACCTTAGTTTGCCTAAAATGACCTCCCCTAATGAGATTAGAACCAGGACATTGAGAAAATACATTGCAATCTTGAAAAAAAAGATAAAACCATAACCAAGTAATTCTAAGCCTCCAAAAGGGCTGATCTAATAAAATCTTTAATGGCTGAAACATCACTTCCTAGACATAAACTGCTACTAAGTCCCCTGGAGGTTTAAAAGTTATTTCTATTTATTTGCAAAGTAGAATCAGGAATTCCATAGCTTTTAAATTCCAGCTATCTCTCCCTGGCCTTGAGCACTGTCTGACTTTTATCAAAACCTTGACAATGTTAACTTTTCCCATAGGTCTGAGGTTGATTTTTAAGTGGTTCTTTTCCTCTCTAAATTCCACTGGGATGTGGGCTGTGTGTGGGAGTAGGGGGTGGATGTTTCTGGTTTGGGTTTGGGGTGGCGTTTCTGGTTTGGGGTGGATTTTGTTCTTATAAGTTCATTTTGTAAGTTCAGCTGGACTGATGTTAAGTTTCTTCCTGTCTTTCTTGGTAGAATGTTCAAATTTGGATTCTATTACTCACATTTTTCTAGTGGGCTGTGTTTTCATCTTGTAAACAGATCACCCCAGCTGAGCACTTTCTGATAGACTGTCCTGGACTATGTATACATGGTTATCCAAAAGTGACCTGAGCCAGTCTGCTGCTTGTTTTGGCAAAGGTGGATCCTCTGTAAGAAAACGGGCCAGAATCCGGGGAACAAAAATGGAGCATGTGGGTGCCCCTAGGTGTTGGGTGGTTTGGACCCAAGGCATGGCTGAGCCCCTCTATATTCATAGCAGCCTTGTCTCCTTTGCAGTTGGAAGTACCACCCAAATCAACAAACTTATCTGTTGTGCCCTATCTATGTGCCTTTCTGAAAAATCATCTAATCTCTTCTGGATGATTTTGCTTCCTCTTCAAGACAATAATGATACTACAATAAATGATTTCTATCATTCCTTCCAGCACTGACATCTTATGAGTCTATGAACTACCCGGTTTCTTCTTCAAATCAAGAAGTGACTTCAGGGACTTTCCTGATGGTCCAGTGGTTAAGAATCTACCTGGGCTTGACCCCTGGTCAGGGAACTAAAATACCACACGCCTCAGGAGAACTAAGCCCATGTGCTGCCGAAAAGCTCATGTGCTACAGTGAAGACCCAGCACAGTAAAAGAAAGACATGAGTTTACAAACATCTGAGTGTGCAAGAGAATAAAAAACCAAAGACTTCCCAAAGGCTGAGGTGTGCGCAAAGGCTGCTGCCTCTCTTCTGTCCCACGCTCGGATCCCCAGACCCCGGCTGCCACAAACCTCCATCTGCTTGACGAGTCGGCCCCGGTCATCCTTGAGGTGACTCTTCGCCTCCAGCTCGTACTCCAGGTCCTTGAGTGTCTGCTCCAGAAGCTGCCTTTTCGTGAGCGCTTCTTCCTGAGCTCTCTGATAGTCCCGTAACTCTTCCTCCATCAGGCGCATCTAGAAGGAGGAGGGCCGGGGGTGTTGATCTGGGCACGCCAGGAGCACAGAGCTGCCAGGAGTGCGCAGGATGACCCCGGAGAGGATACAGCGGCTCCCGCTATGCTGGAGGTCAGAAAGCCCTGGGCAAGCACCACCTCCCTCTTGGCCTCAGTTTCCTCTTCTGTAAAAAGAAGCCTTGAGGACTTCCCTGGTTTGCAGGGGTTGTGGGTTTGATCCCTGGTCAGGAAGCTGAGACCACACATGCCTCTGGGCCAAAAAAAAAACAAAAACAAATCATAAAACAGAAGCAATACTGTAACAAATTTAGTATAAAGACTTTAAAAATGGTTATAAATTCAATTCAGTAGATGTTGGCCAGCATTACATAAAACGGAAAAAAATATCAGAGTAGTACAAGCAAACGTTGTTTTCTGAAACATTTCTACTAGATACTAATACATTTGTGTGGATGCATGCATTACTGTCTTACAAGGCAAGACATCTTTCTTAAGGCAGGTCATGGTCAAAGATACTTGAAAGCCCCTGAGCTAATCCCACAGCATAATCTGTTGCTCACCTGTAATAGGTTCTTCTCAACAGAGGTTAAAAGTGAAGGGAAAATAAAAGCTAAAATCATGACTCCAAAGCAACCTGCAGGCACAAAATCTATTACTCTAAACAAGTTAAGAGAAAACCACTGCTTTCTAAAGAATGTTATCAGTTGTCATAATTTACAGTGTTTTGCTCCTCCACAAGGTGGCACTGAACTGACAGTTTTGAAGAAAGTGTAAGAGACAATGAGCTTGATTCCCAAGAGTTGCCGTGTTTTCCACTCCTCTGAAATCTCCCCAAGGGGACTAGGCACCTCAGCACTCAGTAGGTATTCCTTAAATATCTCTGTGGACTGATTCAGTGAGGGCTGTCGTTTATTTCTCAGCGTCCCTCCTGGAGGTGGTTCAGGGTAACAGGTGGAAAACAGTCTCGGGAACAGACTGTATGGGTTAATTTCCTTTATGATAGCAAATGGCAAACTCCAATAGAGTAACAGCTTTGGGGCTTCCCTGGTAGTGCAGTGGTTAAGAGTTCGCCTTGCAATGTAGCGGACACCGGTTCGATCCCTGGTCTGGGAGTATTCCACATGGCGCGGAGTAACTAAGTCCATGAGCTGTAACTACTGAGCCTGCGCACTAGAGTCTGCAAGCCACAACTACTGACGCCCTCACATCGCAACTGCTGAAGCCCAAGCACAGCAATGAAGACACAGCACTGCCCAAAATACATAAATATAGAAATAAAAATTTTTAAAAACACACTTTGCTGAGAGGCTGTATGTAAGTAAATATTAAAAAGGAAAAGAAACGCCAGCCTTTAGGAGTGGCTTTCACAGAAAAGTGGGGAAGCCTCAAAGACAATCTTTTTGGGGACCCAACAGGTTAGGCTAGTTTAGGAAGCCCAGAGGGAAGACTAGGAACTGTGTTTGCCTCCTGGAGGCTAACAGGAACACCCGACATTTCCGCGAGAACAGCACAGTCACAGCAAAGACATCTCCTGACAAAGACTAGACTGGTGTCAGTGGTGACTGAGTGAAAGCATAAAATGAAAATCATTCCGTGGAAAAAGGATGATGAGACATTCTTTGGATACAGAGATGCTCCAAGACATGAAAAAAAGCTCTCCAAATAAAAGTCTTTAAAAAATTTTCTGTGCTTCAGGGTCCTGATTTGCAATATTGTGATAAATATATCAATAAATCCACCTTAACGAGCTGTCCTGAGACTCAAATGAGGTCATACCCCGCCCAAAGCACATGGGTTTTAGAGTCAGACTGATAGGTAATGGTACAGCTCACATTTCCTTCTTGGTATCCTTTCAAACGCCCAGCCTGTTCCTGCCTTCTGATGCCCTCAGTCCCTAACATCCACCAAGAGCTCTGCCACAATCGAGAGTATCTGAGAAGGACATGCACAAGACAATTAGCAGTACAATGTCTGGAATCATGAAGTAGACAAATAACTTCTGAACCTACCAGTGCTAACTTTAAAAGTAATTAAAAACTGCCCTTGGCAAAGTGGGATTTAGAAAATAAATGCAACAGTGAACTCTAGTCTTAATTCTCTAAAGATGATCTTCATCAGAACTTTTCTAGCTCTATGTCAAAGGTAAAAAAGGTAAAAGGCCTATTTCTTTCAAAACGAATAAGGCAGTACTACACCACTCAAGGTGCAAAGACCCTTGCAGTTTTTTCCATTTATTGAGAACTTTAACTAAGTACAACCAAAACAGGATGGAGGGTGGTGAACAGAGTTGAGTTTGAGTTTTTTAAGAATCCCATGTGACCCTGGCTTATTAATTCACTTTTGTTTCAAATGACTCCATGACTTCAGCACCCTTAGGGTGGTTTCTGACTGTAGTTTCCCTCTAGAAGGAGGAGATGTCTGTTTCTGCCATTCAAATGAAAACACTGTCTCACAAGGCTAGACTAGTGAGAACATCAAGGAAGTACAGTCTTTGTTTTCATCTTAAGGAATTCTTTTTTGAATTACTGCCCTTTTACAAACAACACTGGTCTCCATCTGGCCCTAACTAATCTCTCTGGATCTGTTCCCTTATCTAACTAGAGGGTCTCTAAGGTTCCTTCCAACCTGAAGATTTTAGCAGCACAACCATTATACAAAAATCAAAGGGAAGCACTGGACAAGGGTCACTGTGACACTGATTTTCTGAAATCAAAGCAGCTTACCAAATATTTATTGGTGTTCTAGCAAATATCTGAATCCTCTCACCCAGTTGCTGTAAAAATGATTGTTTTTCAATGCCAAAGAGAACTGTGCTATCAATACCCTAATGTCAGTTCTTACTAGAAGTCCTGTGTCCTGAGACCCTAAACCAGAGGAGATCTGTTATCAGGGTCCTTTCAGAAGCAGTCCAAAAGCCTGCAATAAATATCCATTGTTCTTTCACACAGTTTCAGCACTGACTCATGAATGACCTTTCTTTGATCATCAAAGATAATAAAAGTTTGTTTTTTAAAGAAAAATTTGTTTTCCTATGGAATCTTAGTACCCTTGGTACTGCTTATGAAAAAAAAAAAGAAAAGGCAAGCTTTAGAATTATAACAAAAACTAGTATTAGTGTTCGGGATACACAGATCCTTTGCCATATAGTCTCACATGTTACTTCATTTAATTATTAAATCATTTTTATTTTGTATACTTTTAAAGATGTAGAAACAGATGCTCAGAAAACTGGAGTAACTTGCTCAAGGTCATCTAGCTGGCAGGAGGCAGAGTATAAATCAGCCTACACAGTACTGGCATTTTAGAACCTTCACCTTTCCATTAAAAAAATCAAAAACATTCCCTTTATTATTCACAGTTCTTCAGAAGTCAAGACTTAAGGGAGCTAACATTTGGGTTACTTTGCTCTAGTATTCTTAAATATAAAACCAAGAATACACTTTACTACTTTCAGTACTCATAAATTCCTTAAGATTTCTCTCTGTCTCCATTACTGTTGTTCTGAAACTCTTATCCCACCACTTCTACTGCAGTGAAAGTCCATGTAATTTTAAGCCAATGGCAAAAAAAAGCTTACTTTAATCTTTGTTCTAGGATTAAATTAAAACATTAACACACATGAATCATTTAGATACAGCTGGGCACACCACTGGTGCTCTACAAATGGCCGCTAAGCTTTTTGAGGCAGAAAATCTTGGCTTAATCACACAAGCTAAAGGTGTGTCAATTTCACATTAGAGGCCCTGCTGTGTGTCTTAGAATGCCATCTGCCCTGATGCAACCATCTTGAGAATCAAGCTCAAATCCTGTCTTAAGAATCTACCCCAGTGGGAATTCCCTGGCGGTCCAGGGTTAGAGCTCTGCACTTCCAGTGTAGGGGGCAAAGGTTCAATCCCCTGTCAGAGAACTAAGATTGAACATGCTGTGTGCCAAGGCAGCAGGAAAAAAGAAAACAAGATTCTACCCCAGCCTCTCCTGGAAGAGTTTCAAAGCAGATTCTGAACATGGGTAAACTAGGACTGCTCTGGTCAGCCATTATTACCTCATCCTGCAACTTCATGGCAGTCAGACGGGACTTTTCTGCCTCTAGAGTTTTCTCCTTCAACTGTCGTTGCATCTCCGCAAGTTCCCTGCGATTTTTCTCCTTGTATTCATCCAGTTGGTTCTGGAGCTCCAGCGTTGATGTGCGGGACACCTCGACAATGTCGGCCATCTGGAGATGTGACACAGGTGTGAGACCCCCCCACCCCCCGCCATGAGGCTCCACCTGGAGCCCAGGGAGTTAGGCTCGCACCCCATCTCAACACACCTTCTCTTCTCTCCTCTGTAGCCCCCCAAAGTCTACAGATCATGGTCTGCCCAGACTAGTCACCTCTAATGTGGAAGTTGCGTGGCGACCTGAGTAGGCCTGTCTCTGGAGCGTGACTCTCGGTCCTGGGTCAAGTCTCGCTCTGCCACTTACCAGCTACACAGCTGGGGCACTGGCCGCCCTCTCTGGGCCTCTGCCGTGTGCTCATTAGAAACACTGAAGGCATAACCGATACCTTGACAGGCTTGTTGTCAAAATTAAAATGATGCAGACAGACAGGATTCTACTTAGACATGAATAAGCCAGTAAACTGCCTGGCACACAGCAGACGCCAGAAGCTGGCCAGTGCTCAGGGAAGCTTCTGGAGCACGGGGAGCCCATGTGGCTCTCTGCCTTTCCCCGTCTGGATGTTCTAGGGCAGAGGTGAGCAGAGAAGCCAGGGCTACAGGGCTTTAAACTGCCTTTCACGCTCCGAGACAAGAAAGGTGAAGCAAGAACATCGATTAGGCACAAAGGCAGAGGTTCTGATTGAGGTACCAAATGTGACATCTGCACTGACAATGCCAGGCTTCTTTGGGCAAGGGATGAGAGGAACTGGGCCCGTGGTCCAGCGGGCATTCTCTAAACCAGTTTCTCTGTAACTGGAATGATCAACAGGCCTGAAGAGCTGCTTCAGGGGACCTGCAAATCCCTGACACATTTGTGCTGAGACATGCCGCAGGTCTGCTCAGCTCCGTCAGGCCCTCCAGCATGGCGGGGGGTGAAGGGGCTGGGCCCCATGCCCTCCCCAACTCCCGCCCCTCACCTCCTTCTGCAGCTTCTCAATGGTCTTGTCAAGGTGCCATCGCTCATTCTCCATTTCATTCTTCAGTCTCCTTAACTGCTCCTTCTGCTCGGTCTCGTCTTTGAGCCTCTCAGACAGCTGCTTCTGTTCCTGGGTGGCCCGGCTCAGATTTCTCTGCAGATGGCAAGGAGAGGATAGTCCTGTCACCTACCTGCCAGGGCAGCTGCAGGGACGGGTGGCAAACGGAGTTTCACAGCTACACCACAAAGCAGTCAGACCTGCTGCATCACTGATAAGGATAAGGGTCCAAATAAAGCCATTACAGAGACACGAGGACATTGTCAGCTCTGAAATTCAGGGACCAAAGTGGAAGCTGACTTCATCAAAAACACAGGCAGAAATGAAGGGGCAGATGAGGGATGCATCACAGAAATACAGAAAACGGCCACGGCTGCTGGGGATGGTGATTCAGGATAGTATCCAAAAACCTGCCAGAGCTCAGGCTCGAAAACCACAGGGAAGTTATACAGTAGACTAACTTCGACCCGTGCAGCAACTTATATCCTATGATATACAGCATTGCGCCTAATGTTCTAGCATTGTCTCTGCTATGTAGATGGTTCTTACAATTAAAATAGCTAAAAATGAAGCTATAAGGAAAGAGAAATTGTCCCATGGGCCAAGATTCCACCTGGGTATGGGGGTTATAATCAACAATCCCTGAGATGGACTCATATGCAGAAGACAAGGAATCTGGCAATCTACGGGCTGATGAGCCTGCTGGACAGAAGATATGAGATAGAAGACACACTCATCAGGAAAAAGACAGATGAGTGGTTACTTAGTGAATCACACCAAATACTAGTAGTTCTTACAAAATGTAACATCTTGGGTGCAGTATTTCCCCTGGGTTCCTCTGAGGCTCTCATCTCACAACATTATACAGACTGATGTCCTGTATGTAAAAAAAAGAACATGCAATTCTAAAAGCAAGAAAAAATCCTAAAGTGTCTTAGGAACACCATAGTAGCTTCTTTAAATGGCTAAGAATGAAAGGCTGTGGCATAAGGATATCATGAAGGGGCACAGCTCACAATAGCGGAGCATAACCCAAACACAGCTAGATCGTAAGAAAAATGGCATCAGGCGTTGAGGGCTGAATGTGAGTCAGTACAGGTGCTGTTTGGGACCTACTCAAGTCTGTGTCCCTGCAGAGGCTGTATAAGGACAATGGTTATATTTGTACAGTGCTTAACAGGTTACAAGCTGCAGTCACATGCAGGAACTCAGGCATTTTGAAATCACAAAGCACTTCAGGCGCTCCTGGTTTGCAAAGCTTTGGAACAGATCCATTGGCCAGCCATACAGCCTGGGGCCAAAAAGCCACCTGTGGAGGACAGTGCTCAGAGAAACAAGACAGCAAAGCCAGGCCACTGCAGTTAATTGCTGCAGGGAACCAACGTCAACAAAAGCAGTTGGGGAGAGTGGACAGGAGGAGGAAGGGAGCTGGGAGTTCAGTGTAGGGCAATCAGCAGGACTGAGAGCCGCCACAGTCAGCATGGCGCACACCAGACGGAGGGTCAGCCCTGGGCCTCATGTCTGTGGCTGATCTAGTGCATCGAGAGCAAGGGGCAGCACACAGGGCATGGTAAATGAGGAAAGGTTCCTCTGTGTGGGAGCAAACTCTCAGGAACAGGCATCTCAGAATGTCAATTCTTGGAAAACAACAAATATACAGGGATACCAGCTTCCCTGGTGGCTCTGTGGTAAAGAGTCTGCCCGCCAATGCAGGAGACGCAGGTTCGATCCCTGGGTCAGGAACAACCCCTGGCAAAGGGAATGGCAACCCACTCCAGTGTTCTTGCCTGGATAATCCCATGGACAGAGAAGCCTGAAGAGCTACAGTCCATGAAGCTGCGAAAGAGTCAGATACGACTTAGTGACTAAACCACCACTCACAGAGGGACATCATCACCTTCCCGTAGAACTGCCAGGATACAACTCAACCCCTACCCCTACAGCCCCTCTTTCTTCCTTTTGGATCCCAAATCTCAGGGGCTCCAGGCCAAAAGACAAGCCAGCCTCGACTTCATTCAACTCCCACACGGTGAGAGCTCTTCTGCTTTACCTTTGTCTCAGGATGGGTTCTGTTACCAACACCCACTTCCCTGGCCCAGGTTCTGCTCTCCTGTGCTACTGGAGACTCCTGAGGCTCAAACAATCTAAGCTGAGCTTGGCCAACACACCCCGTCCCAACTTTAACACATACACATTTGCCTAGAAGAATAATTTTGCTAAATCATTTTTAAAATATTTCTTGCACGCTTGCCTCTATTGCATGGCAGTAAGATCTATAAAGGCAAGGAATAGATTTTTTATCTGAGTATGTCTCATAGTCCAGATTCACTATTAGGCACAGGATAAAAAAACTCTGTGGTTGCAAATTAACGCCTATCCCCAAAAGTGATCTAAAGATCAGAATCACCAAGCAAGAGTGGTAGATTCCTTATGTAAAATGCAGAATCTAGCCCTTTCTGATGGAATCACAACTTTTCTTAGAGTGGAGCCCACACATTTGCATTTCAAAGTTTTACCCAGATATTCTGATATACTCAAAAGTTCAGAAATGCTGTTCAAACAATGCTCTGCCTCTACAGAGATTCAAGAAATAGGTTCTAATAAGTCACTGCTGAGAAAATATGTCCCAAATTCACATGAAAAACAGCAAACTTGGCAACTTTGCATTTAGGAGTTAGGTGTGAAATGCTCTATAGCTACAGTGACTACATTTCCAAGACCAGCCATACAAGTCTCTTGACTAACATTGGGACAAAATTTGAGGAAAATCTGTGAGTGAAGAATCCAGAACACAAGGCTGGTAGATGTACAGTGAGTGCCCTTGAGGTTGGGGACCATTATCTCAGTGGATGCAAAGCCTTTTACTGTATGGCTGAGCAAGGCCTCCATCAGTCCGTATTAACAATAACTATGTGGCAGGTGAGCAGAAAGGCTTAAGGGAATGGGACGCTTGATAAGAAAGCACTGGATCTCAGAGCCCTTGACACATGTTAACTGTGGACTGTGACAAGCGTGGCGGCTTTCTTCTGTGGTCACAGTACACAGAAGTCTGCTGGGGTGGGAGGTACAGGCAAACAGAACATATATCATCAACAGAACATATATCATCATCCTTCCCTGAAGAAAAGCCATTTCTCAAGGTAATCAGAGACATCTTTGTCATGAACGCAGTTTAAACATGTCTACACAGCAGCCCAATCCTCAACCAAGTGGTTGGGCTGAAGTAAACCAAGAATGGCATCCCCTTTAAGAACTCTTACTCTGACTGAGCCAGAATAAACTAGACCTAAGTTCACAAGGTCTTCACCTACAATGTCAAGAAATATATTTATCATACATGAAGATGCAGCAGATTGTTAAAGGCACAAAAATTTTGAAATATAAAATGCTTATGTGGGAAAAATAAAAGTTACTCTCTCCTCTTCCTCTAAGGGTTACGCTCCCTTTTGATTGTCAGTTTTGGTAGAGGCATGCAGAAAGAACTAAAGGAATGACTGTTTGGTCCCCAAATTGAGAAAAAGCAAAGTAGTTTTGAGTGATGGTGTGTTTTCCATAGCACTACTTTTGAAACAAGATGATTCAGATAAAGATGGTGAGACTGTCGGACCCTCTTAAAATTCCTGCCAGATTATGTTGCCAGTGGTTAGCATAGCCACATACTGCCTGAAGCAGTCTCACCATCTCACCACCACTGGGAAAACAGGTCTGAACAAAAATAATACGTCAGGGATAATTTTGAAGGCAGGGATGGAGACCTGGAGGTAGAGGCCAGCAGGGATCACATTAAGATCTTCAGACCTTGAGGCCATCATCTGTTCTCTCTACTGAATTAGCTGTGAGCTGCAGATTCACAGCTGGTGAACCACCTCCTTCTGTGTGAAAGTTTCTGGTTTGATCAAAGGATGACAAAGACAGAGCCTGTAACAGTTTTACCCGTTGCCTGGTGTGGATGTGACACAAAAGTGCAGATTTTTGCCCCTATAGAACACAAATGTTTTTCTTCTCTTTCTGTCCCCAACAAGCTCAGAGATGTAAGCTCCGCACTTTGCCGCTGGATTATAGCCACCATAAGCCTTAAACAGCATCGTAGGGCAACTGCCGTTCACACAAAATCAACCAGACAAGAGCTAATAACAAAGATCTAGGTTAATAAAGAAAGAAAAAGAAATCCAGAGCTAAGACACCAAAATGAAGAAAATACAGGACTTCACTGCATGCAAAAACAAGGTCTCTGTTCAAAGCCAAAGAGAAGGTGCAGATTTGGGGGTGAGGGCTCCTGAGTTGTGGCTGACCTGAGTGAACCCCGGTACACACTCCTCTAGCCCTGAGGAGATGATGCTGTATATGAAAGGAAAGCTGCAATTAGGCATTTACAAATATGAATCCTGACTCAGCTCCTGACACTTTTCATGTGCCCCTCCCTCACCCTCCCTTACAGACACACAGTCCTAAGGGAACACTTTAACAGACTCCTCTAAGACAGCTGCTCAAAAACAACTGGCTTTTACCTCCTCAGAAACTCACCTGAGGGATGAATGATGCTGCTGGTTCTTTAAAACTCCAGAGCAGGTAGAAGGAAGGACATACCTGGATCACACTGAGGTCACTGTGCAAAGTCTATTCAGAACCTCAGTGCAGACTTTGTTTTTTCTTTTTTCTTTTTTTTTAAGAACATACTTCAAACATCTTTCTAACCTTCAAATGGGAAAAACTAATTTTCTAAGAATCTGCTGATTTTGAATAGATAGATATCCAGTTTCAAAGAAATGACTTCCTCGGGCTTCGTTTAATAGCCCTTTTGAAGGACTCTGCTTTGAGGCATCTATTTGCCCAGAGGAGAGAGGAAATCAGCTTCTGCCACAGAGCGACTCCACAGAGCCCTGGACTGATTCTGTTGGCCTTCTCACACAGATCATATTTTATCTTTGGAAAGCTGTCAGGCTCTTCCATGTCTGGAGGACTTCTCAGCCCCAGCACTACTGACATCTGGGTGCTTCACAGCTGTGGGGGCATCCTGGGCTGTGTAAGATAGGGAGCAGCAGCCCTGGCCTCCACCCATGAGATGCCAGTAGCATCCCCCCATCTGTGGCAACCAACGTCTCCAGACATTGCTGAATGTCCCCAAGGTTAAAAGACACCAGCCTAGGGGTTTCCCTGGTGGCCCGATGGTAAAGAATCCGCCTGCCAATGCAGGAGACACAAGTTCAATCCCTGATCCTGGAAGATCCCACATGTCGCAGAGCAACGAAGCCCCGTGCTCCACAACTATTGAGCCTGCTCTCTACAGCCCAGGAGCCACAGCTACTGAAGCCCATGAGTCCTAGCTCCTATGCTCCGCAACAAGATAAGCCACTGCAATGACAAGACACAACTAGAGAAGAGCCCATGCAGCAACAAAGACCCAGCAGCCAAAACCAAATAAATGAATGAATAAAAAGAACCACTGGCTTATACAGACAGTTGGAAGTCCATGCCGGTTATTATGGAAGGAGCAGCCTGGAAGGACAGGACCAGTGGCGACCTGGACATGTCCCTACTTGTCGAGCTTCCTCTGTGGGGGGATAAGGGCCCTCAATGTTTACCTGAGCCTCTTCCAGCTCAGTCTGCAAGGCCCTTTTGGCTGACGTGGCTTCTTTCTCTTCCTTTCTTGCATGCAGAAGGGCCTCTTCTAATTGCCGAGTTTCTCCCTACAAAGAAACATGGGGTTAATGCACACTCAGATGGGTGCTGTACCTACGAAGCTGACTCAGCAGCATGACAGGCAGGCGGGGATATCCACAGACACAGCTGGCAGGGGCTGCAGTCTCCATGCACCTGTCATGGGCCCACAACAGCACAAAACAGATGTGTGTGCCTGTCTGCAGTGCCATTCTTAACCAGAAATGAACATCCAATCCAGTCATCTGAGATGATCTGGGGGGAAATACAGATATCCACCCTCAGCACAAGAGCGTCAGCAACAACACTGAATGAACTCAAGTATGAATCAATTCAATACTCAAGTACTGAATGAACTCAAGCACACAGTCTGAGAAAAAGCTTTTCAGGTGATTTTAACGGTGACCCTTTGGGAAACTTATGTTAGAATACACCTCACATCACGTCTCTTTTGTCTGTATCTTTTGTCAGCTGCCATTTCTCGCAGCTATCAGTGCGTGTCTCTTGCTAATGGCCTCCCACTGCTAGAGATCTGGAAAACCAGGTAACGGGTTTGGTAAAACTTGTGTGACCTCAAAAACAATCAACCAACTGCTAATAAAAAAAGAAAAAAACAGTCACGAGTGAGAGTGGGCTTGATGGCAGGGTTAAGATGCCCTTTTGGGGTGTCTGGAGGCCTCTGCTCAGTGTGAAAAGATTGAGCACACCTGATGTCTGGGCGAACGGGGACCCCTGTGCCTGCACCTGAGCGCCCCAGGCCAACTCCATCAGACCTGTTCCAGGTCTCTTCCAAAGCCATCTCCCATTTGCACCACGCACAGAGGAACAAAAGCAATGGTTTACAGAGAGGCGGTCATAGCCACCTTGACCTTTCCTACGTGATTATGATAATAAATCCCTTTCAGCTTCTCAAGTCACTCACACAGGAAAGCAGGATCCGTGGCTGCCGAGCCCAAGCTGGGGGCCCAGCAAGCCTCACCTCGCACTTCTTGAGTGTCTCCTTCGCTCTGGCCTCGTCATCTTGAAGGTCAGCAAGCTGCCTCTGCAGCCGAGCCACAGTGCACTCCAGCTCTTCCACACTCCCCCGCAGCTCCTCGTTCTCCTCCTGCAGAGCCTTCACACGCATCTCTGCCCCCAGCTGGGTTTGCTCTGCAGTACTGCTCCGACTGGCCAGGACCTCGACGTTCTGGTAAAGACATGGAACAGGTGAGCATGGGAACCACAGTCAAGGCCCAGCCTCAGTTTCAAGGATGGCTGACATTTCTTAAAAACCCACTACGTGCCGGGCACCATGCTAAGCCAGGGATCGGCACCCGACAGCCTACAGGTCCAGCCCACCACCTGTTATTAAAACTGAAGTGTTAGGACTTCCCTGGCGGTCCAGTGGTTAAGACTCTATGCTTCCAATGCAGGGGATGCAAGTTCGACGCCTGCTTGGGGAACTAAGATCCTACATGCCATAGAGCAACTAAGCAACTAACTAAGCCCATGCTGCAACTACTCAGCGTGTGCCCCCTGGAGTCAGAGCACTGCAACGGGAGGAAGCGCATGCACTGCAACGAAGATCCTGCATGGCACAACTAAGAACCAATGCAGCCAAATACACAAATATAATTTTAAAATAAATCAAGCGTTACTGGAACTCTGCAACATCCATTTGGGGACATACTATCTATGACCACTTTTGTGGTACAATAGCTGTGTCAGGACTTGGGGCCAAAGTTTAAAATATTTATTATCTAGCTGTTTATAGAAAAGTTTTGCCAAACCATGCCAGTGTCCTTGACATGAAATTTCAACCTTTTAACAACTCTAGGAGGTGGTTACTATCCTCTTTTTTTTGGCTTCACTGGGTCTTCGTTGTGTGCGGGCTTTCTCTAGCTGTGGCAAGTGGGGGCTACCTTCTAGTTGTGCTGAGCAGGCTTCTCATTACAGTGGCTTCTCCTGTTGTGCAGAGCACAGACTCTAGAGCATGTGGGTTTCAGAAGTTTTGGCTTGTGGGCTTAGCTGCCCCACAGCATGTGGAATCTTCCCAGACCAGGGGTCAAACCCATGTCTCCTGCATTAGCAGGCAGATTCTTAACCAATGGACCACCAGGAAAGCCCAAGTGGTTAAAAAGACAAACTGGCACTTGGGTAGACTGAGGAACTTGTCCAAGTTCATGTAGGAGGAAACGTATTCAGGCAGAACAAATCCAGAACCTAGTCTTATAACCACCAATGAGTTCATTTTCCTGATTTCTAATCATGTACAGCTCTTGAAGAAGAGTAATTTCTGCTTGTAAGTTTTTTTTTTAATGTCTAACATAAAATGGAAATTAAAATATGCTTAAATATGATATAGTTCACTGTGCAAACTCTAGGTACTATCATCTGAAGATGAGAATGTGCAGCACACAATCCATAACTGAAAGGAATGGCAACAATTACAGAATGATTAGTTAATTTCAGATATCACATGGGCTTTTATTTTTTGGCTTCTTAAAAGTCACACATCTGGAGTGTGACGTCAAGCAGGCCTTAGAAAGCATTACTATGAACAAAGCTAGTGGAGGTGATGGAAATCCAGCTGAGCTATTTCAAATCCTAAAAGATAATGCTGTTAAAGTGCTACACTCAACATGTTAGCAAATTTGGGACACTCAACACTGGTCATAAGACTGGAAAAGGTCAGTTTTCATTCCAATCCCAAAGAAGGGCAGTGCCAAAGAATGTTCAAACTACTGGACAGTTGTGTTCATTTCACATGCTAGTAAGGTTATGCTCAAAATCCTTCAAGTTAGGTCTTCAACAGGACATGAATCGAGACCCTGGTGATGTACAAGCTGGGTTTAGAAAAGGCAGAGGAACCAGAGATCAAATTGCCAACATTCACTGAATCATAGAAAGGGCAAGGGAATTCCAGAAAAATTATCTACTTCCACTTCATTGACTACGCTAAAGTGTTTAACTGTGTGGATCACAACAAACTGTGGAGAATTCTTCAAGAGATGAGAATACCAGATCACCTTACCTGCCTCTTGAGAAACCTGTATGCAGGTCAAGAAGCAATAGATTCAGACATGGAACAATGGACCAGTTCAAAATTGGGAAAGGAGAATGAGAAGGCTATACACTGTAGCCCTGCTAATTTAACTTCTATGCAGAGTATATTACGTGAAATGCCAAACTGGATGGCTCACAGGCTGGAATCAAAATTGCCAGGAGAAATATCAACAACCTCAGATATGCAGACGATATCACTCTAATGGCAGAAAGTGAAGAGGAACTGAAGAGCCTCTTGATAAGAGTGAAAGAGGAGAGTGAAAGAGCTGGCTTGAAACTCAACATTAAAAAAAAAAAAAAAAAAAACACTGAGGTCATGGCACCCACTCCCATCACTTCATGACAAACAGAAGGGAAAAAGTGGAAGCAGTGACAGATTTCATTTTCTTGGTCTCCAAAATCACTGCAGACAGTAACTGAAGCCATGAAATTAAAAAATGCTTGCTCCTAGGAAAGAATGCTATGACAAACCTAGATAGCTTAATAAAAAGCAGAGACAGCACTTTGCCACAAAGGTCCATATAGTCAAAGCTATGATCTTCCAGTAGTCATGTATGGATGTGAGAGTTGGACCATAAAGAAGACTGGGCAATGAAGAATTGATGCTTTCAAATTGTGGTGCTGGAGAAGACTCTTAAGAGTCCCTTGGACTGCAAGAAGATCAAAGCAGTCAATCTTAAAGAAAATCAACCCTGAATATTCACTGGAAGAACTGATGTTGAAGCTGAAGTTCCAATACTTTGGCCACCTGATGCAAAGAGCTGACTCACTGGAAGAGACCCTGATGCTGGGAAAGACTGAGGGCAAGAGGAGAAGGGAGCAACAGAGGATGAGACAGTCGGATGGCATCACAGAGTCAACAGACATGAGTTTGAGCCAACTCTGGGAGATAGTAAAGGACAGGAAGTGCTGCAGTTCATGGGGTCGCAAAGAGTTGGACAAGACTTAACGAATGAACAGCAACAGCCCTAACTTTCCCATCAAGAGATAAGAGACTACAAAGATACAGTTAGCAAGTGGTACTTGCGTAAGGATAAACGTGTAGTTCAATGGCAAAGAAGTAACAGTTTAAAAATCAACCTGTCCATTGATTCTCAACAAGCCAAGCCAAAAGCAAAAGAATGAGGTTAGATCCCTTCCTTACACCACACATAAAAATTAACTCAAAATGGATCAGATACCTAAATGTAAGATCTAAAACTATAAATCTCTTCTAAAAGAAAACACTGGAGTAAATATCATGAGCTTGAGTTATGTAAGGCTTCTAAGATACAATATCAAAACACAATTTAAAAAAATAGATAAATTAGATCTTATCAAAATCAAAAACTTTCATGCTAATGATAACAAGAAGTTGAAAAGATAATCCACAATAAGAGAAAATATTTACAAATCATATATCTGATAAACTCATATTTAAAATACATAAAGAAATGTTCAACTCAATAAAAAGACAACCCAATTTTTTTAATGACCAAAGGATCTGAGCAGACATCCTTCAAAGAATATATATATATATTTCACATATATATTTATATATATATATCTATATATGAAAGAAAAAATGAAAGTTAGTCACACAGTCATGTCCAACTCTGCAATCCCATGGACTGTAGCCTGCCCACTCCTCTGTCCATGGAATTCTCCAGGCAACAATACTGGAGTGGATTGCCATTTCCTTCTCCATGGGGTCTTCCCGACTTGAGGATCAAACTTTTTCTCCCTTTAAGAAAAGAAATTTATTTTTAAATGCTTAGTGGGAAGGCATAGACTGAGTTCTGGTTTACTGATATAACTCCGAGGAGAACTTCAATTTGCTAGCATAAATTTTCACTCCACTCTCAAGCTTCTAAACAGTTCCTGAAGTCCAACAAGTACATGAGAAGATCCTCAATATCATTAGCTATTAGGGAAATGCAAATCAAAACCATAATGAGTCACTTCACACCCACTAGGATGGCAATAATCAAAGATTCAGATAATAGGGACTTCCCTGGTGGTCTAGTGGTTAAGACTCTCTTCTTCCAATGCAGAGGGTGGGAATTCAATCCCTAGTTGGGGAACTAAGATCCTACATGTCATGCTCTGAGGCTAAAAATGAATAAAATTATATAAAAAAAAAAAGATAATAGCTAATGGTGGGGAGGATAAAGAGAAATCAGAACCCTCATATGAGGCTGGTGAGAATGCAAAATGGTGTGGTCACTTTGGAAAACAGTTTCAAAAAATGCTCAAAATTTTAAAGGGTTATCATAAGACCCAGCAATTCCACTCCTATATATACACCTAAGAGAAGTGAAAACACATGGCCACATAAAAACTTGTGCAAAAACTCCACAATAGTATTGCTCATGGTAGCCAAAAAGTGGAAACCTAAATATTCATCAACTGTCATGACCATGACAATGTGCGTTCACTCAATCATGGCCAACTTTTTGCAACCCCATGGACTATAGCCCACCAGGCTCCTCTGTCCATGGCATTTTCCAGGTAAGAATACTGGAGAGGGCTGCTTCTCCACGGGATTTTCCCGACCCAGGATCAAACCCATGTCTCTTGAGGCTCCTACACTGGCAGGCAGTTCTTTGCCAGCTGAGCCATGGTCTATCCCTATGATGGAATATTATTTGGTCCTAAAAAGGAATAAAGTACTTATACATGCTACAACATGGATGAAGCTTGAAAACATTATGCTAAGTCAAAGAAGTCATTCATAAAAGGCCATATATGAACACTGATATAAAATGTCCACAATAGACAATTATATAGAGATGGAAAAATCAGTAAATGGTTGCCTAGGACTGAGAGCGATGAGAAGACTGGGAAATGACACAAAAAGAGTACAGGATTTGGAACTGAAATATACACACTGTATAAAACAAATAACCAGCAGGGACCTACTGTACAACACAGGTAACTACACGGAATAGTTTTAACAACCTACAAGGGAAAAAATCTAAAATAGAGTATAACTGAGTCACTGTGCTCTACACCTGAAGCTAACACGATATTGTAAAGACACTAATTCAACAAAGATTTTTAAAAGCCATGATATGGTGCACAGGAAGTTAAATACTACATAGCATATGATTCAATTTACTATTTTAAAATTTTATATATATATATATATATATAAAATCT